TGCATTCACAGATTCTGGTGGTTAGGACTTTGACATATCTTTTGAGGGGATACATTTAATCCATAATACCATTCAGAATGGAATTTGTGACTTGTCACTCACTTCCTTCTTCCTGTTCAATTTTTTTCCGCTATACAGTGCTGCTGACATGGTTTCCATCGCCTGAAACAGAATGTTCTGCTCAGTGCTGCCCAATACTGTACCACATACGGCCATAGAGAATTTGATAGGAGGCTAGTGCAACTGAGAAACTGAATTTTTTTTTCTTGAATTTCAATTAATTTAAATTTAAATAGCTACATGAGCCAAATGGTTACTGTCCCGAATAGCATAGGCCTGTGAGATCGACTCATTGTCACTTCTGTCTCACTCTTCCTATTTGATGTGTTGCCCAAAGTATTGTATCATCTTTCAAAAGATACAGAACACTGGAGACACCGTTTGTGTAGTCTGCTTTTAACTTTTTTGACTAGAGGGGGAATTCAGAATTTTTCACCTTGCCTATAACAACAAAGAGAAGAATGTTTACAGAAGGGGTTTCTCAAGCAGTAGAGGAATCAGAGGTAAATGCTGAGTTAGACAGACGGCAGCACTCAAGACTGATGATGATGATGAAATTGATCATTAAAGTGAGACCTTAGACTATGAATCTTGAGACGATGCTATTCTCTATTAATTCTCTCAAACTCAAGAGTCAATGAGAGAACAATATAATTCTAAGGACTGAAAGAAAATATGGTATTCTCACACAGTTAGTCATCAAGAGAAAGGGCTTCATCAAACTCTTTTGTGACGATGAACCTGGGCCACCCCATTTTGCTAAATGAACATGGGACAGTATTCTTTCATCTTTTATGATGTTTGTACACCAAAATTCACTCTATATACAATTTGTAGATGGGTAAATGTTGAAGTTAAGTATGTATGCAAAGTGGACTGAAAGGGAAAAGATGAGGCAGAAATGAAAAACATCCACTGGATTGATAAGAAAAAAATAAATTAGAAGTGTCTGTAAGAGCTATAGCGTAAATAGTGATGACTATTTTTTTTTCTGGTATACTAAGAGTTAAAACTTGTTTATTGTACTAGTCAAGGTACCAGATAGCTTATATAAAAGGGTAAATCTCCAGAAATAAGGTAAAGAAATGATTGTATTTCTGCCTAAATTAGTTATCTTGAAATGGTGAAATGAGATTCCCTGGGCTGGAATCTCAAGTCCAGCACTTAGTGCATGACCTTTGGCTGTTATTCAGCCTCTCTAGATCCAGTTCCCTCATCTGTAAAATAAGGATTAAAAAATTACTTCCCCTTTCATAGAGTTTTATGGAGACTAAACTTGCATGCAGAGCACTTAGCAGAGTGCTTACCAGATGGGAAATGACAGACATCAGCTATGGACGGTGATCTTCTCCTTGAATGGCTTAGACCGGCTCTCCTCATCTATCAGACCTGGGAACCCAACGTCTGTGAAATGATAAGTGTGTCTATCCTATTTGCATATCCCAGCATTGAGTATTGCTGATGCCTGCTGCTCACATCAGGGACCCAAGGCCCAGGCAAAGGGGAGCCAGGAGGAGAAGACGTCAACCTCCAGAGGTCAGGTTGCTTTGGGGTGTCAGCAGAACTGCAGATGCTGCTGCAGAAGCCAGAGCACGGAAGGCTGTCAGCCCGAATTTAATCTCCATAAGAACTTTTCCCCCTGATTTTCACATTTGAGCAGGCATTAACTTGATGAACTCATACTATATAGAAATATATAAGGGAAAGATTAAAAATCACCTGAAATCTCACCATAATTGATGAACTCATACTATACAGAAATGTTAAGGGAAAGATTAAAAGTCTCCTGACATCCCACCATCCAGAGAAAACACCATTATCCTGCCAGGCTTGTCTCTGCACACACTCATACATATGTACACAGTTTTATAAGAAGTTTGATCACACTATACTTGCTGTTTCATGTCTGTTTTTGCTTTCAATAATCTTTCTAACTTGTTCAATCGAGATCTACATGCTCATTCTTATTAGGGTTCTAACCTTAAACCACTGAGTTCTGTGCATGAAGTGGTAGTAAAAAGTGGTTTGTTTACACAAGAAAATATTAACATCTGCCCTTAAATAATGACTTAGATCAAAAGTGAGGTGAGCTGTGAAGTTAAAGTACATTTGAAAACCAAGTAAATATCAGAGGCACTGGGTTCTTTCTTATGAAAATACTGGAGAGAAGGATGACCTGGGCTCTTACTGTATGTGTTGTGTGGCACACGCCTCATTCCCTGAATGGCTATTACTTCTGGAATGTGAAATTTGTGGAACTAAACTTTTAATAAAATGAGAACTCGCCTATAAACCTCAGTACATTTTCAGGGTTTAAAAATCTTATTTTATCTAGATCACAGCTCTTTCGATCTTGGCACCAAAAAGTTATTTCTGAGTACTCAGCAAATATGAAAACTGTGGGTCTGGACTGTGTCCTGTTTTCCCCTGCCAGGCCGGGGGTTCACGCCAGAGGCCACACATGTGTGAGTCCTTATCCTCTGGATGCCACCAGGTCCCTGGGGATACCAGTGATCAGTAGACCTAAATAACTGAGGCCCACACTCAAGGGTCCTTTTCTGGAAATCTGACCTCATCACTGCTGGGATTCATTTCCACCACACCAGAAGTAATAAGCATGGATGAAAAGATGTTAACATACCAATATTATTTTTACTCATTTTAATATTCTTCTTCTTATTTTGGCTACTGCTTAGAAAGTCAAGAATGTTTTTGCTACCCCACTCCTAGATAATGAAAATACAGTTACAGTGAAAGATTTAAACTTCTGCTGGGTAAAAGAGGTTATATTCACAATTTTCAAACTTGGAATAGAGTTTATAAAACTGGATTTACTCTGAAAGTGGTCTAAAATGGTCTGATATGAACTGATCATTTTTATGTATCACAGGGAACCTTAGCTGGGGGTACGAAGACCAGATTGCAAGGGCCGGGGGATGCACGGCTGGGGAAAACCCTGCAAGGGCAGGGAGAGAGAGCCCAGCAAACACAGCACCCAGGCCCCAAGGATGCTAACAAAGAGGCAGGCAGGATGGCCACCTCAGCAAGAGCAACGCCCCAGGCAGACTTAAGGGGTGGCCCCAGGCCAGTCACCCAAGACTGAATTCAAGGAGACAAGTTTATACGAAGTGGGCCTGGGGCTTGTGACCAGGTAGAGCCCCATTTATCAAACCTGGAACGCAAGGTAATGTCCCAACACACTACTGAGGGAAACAGCTGATGGGTCCCACAGGCTGAGCCACCCAGCCCCACGTCCTGCAGAGCTGAGGGATTGGGGGAGGCGGTTCACTCACACTTGGAAATAAGTACTGTTAGTGCAGAAGGAAACTCCCACTTATTTTCCCTTCTAGGCAAGTTCATGACCAAGGAAAATATGTTTTTACTACAAGGAAAGTTACAATAGTGAGTCATCATTATATTAATAAATAGCCTTTATATAATAAGCCTCTATCACTCTCTCTAGGCTATTAGCAGTAAAAACAACACAGAAAATGTCCAAGAAAATGGTTTTCTTTTACTCACAGCCTTTAGAGCAGTGGTGCTCTAATGTGGTCCTAAGGCCAGCAGCATCAGGTCACCTGGGAGTTTGTTGGAAATGGTCCCTCGACCTGCAGAATCAGACACTCTGAGGTCTGGGCCCAGCAATCTGTGTTTTAACAAGTCTCCAGGAAACCCTGATGCAAGCTAACATTTGTGAATACTGGCCCAGTGCAAAGAAGCTGGAATGAGACCCAGGGGACCTAATTCAGCCTCCAGCTCTGGATTCCACGGTCCAATTCAGTGCAATGTCGTGAACAGTTCTGATGCAAGGACGTGAGGATACCAATGTGAGCCAGGCATGGTGTTATCCACGAACCCTCTATATTCCTTTCTTTTTTTGTTTCCTATTTGTATCACAGGCACCCAATATATATGCAGTGGGCCAAGCAGTAGAGCCATTCACCACTGTGATAAATACTACTGAACCATTCATCAATAATCTTAATGTTACTCCAGTCTGGTTAACACTAGCCACCGTTTATTTAATGCTTATCGCATGCCAGGTGCCGAGTGCTTGTCATAAATCAGCTTGTTTAATCCTTTCAGATATCCTGTTTTGCAGGTGGTATTTTTAACCCCATTTTGAGCATCAGAAAATGGAGGCTCAAAATGTTAAATAATTTATCCGATGTTATACACTGAAAGTAGCAGAGCCAGTGAAGAACCCAGAAATACTTTATGTCAAAGCTCAGGTCTTAAATGTGGTAGAGTTCTTTAAATCCCACAAACTCCAAAGCCGACTTTGGGGTGAATTCCAAGACTCCAAAGTTAGTGATTATCACCTCATTATATATACTTACAACTGTACTTTGTAGGCATCTCCCTTAAGTGGTCAAAGCCTGTCTTTATTTTTCTCATTTTTTGTTTAACAGGTTGACATTTGGCTTTCATTGAGCTCTAGGAAGGAGGTAGTGGTGGGGAACTACATTAATACCTTCCTGGACTATTCTGACCCTTAAAAGTCAGGCCAGGACGACTTCTACAAAGAATAAAAGTGGGTACATAGGCCAGGTCTGGGCAGCTTGGCCCAACAAAGGGGTTGGGCAGAGGTGGGTCTAGTCCCAAGGCCCTGAGGCAGGGGGAGGCCAGGGTATGGGCACCAGCTCATAGGCCAGAATGGATGCCGACACAAATGAGGCAGCGAACCGGGGAAGCTGCTGAAAATTCAAGTCAGCCTAAGGGCCGGTTCTGGGGACAATCACAGCTGTGACAGTAGCTCCCTTACCACGCTGGCTCTCCTCACGCGCTTTCCTTCTTGTAAGTCACAGATGAATTTGGCATCTGGCATATACTATTTTCTGGTTCCCAATTCAGGGCCAGGACAATTCTGGTTGGGGACATTGAAAGCTGTAGGTACTAAGACTAGGAAAAGGGATTTAGAGCACAAGCAACGACCTTACCTTACTAGGAGGTGGCCCATGGTCATCCAAGTAAGTGGAATTTCCTAGAAAAAAAAAAAAAAGAAAGTGGATGAATAATAATTTTAAACCCAAAATGAATTTAGTGCAAAGTCACTGAAAATAAGCATTGTAGACAGATTTCTATTCAGACAACTGTACCAAAGAAAAATTGGTAACTAATTGCCAGTTTGGTGGTATTTTGCTGATACTACATGCTTGGTTAATAGTTTCAGCAGTTATAAACATCCTGTATATGTGGGTATGCACACGGACATACACATGCAGAAATGTGCACTGTTATTCCTTACCCAGCATCCACTGAGTTTATTTTTGACCATGGTTCTCAGACTTTAATGTGCATCAGGATTACCTGCATGGCTTGCTACACACAGCAGATTGCCTGGCCTACTTGCAGAGTTCAGTAGCTCTGAGAATCTGCACGTCTGCCAAGTTCCCAAGTGACACTGATGCTGCAGGTCCAGGCCTCGTTATTGTTTCCTGGTGAATAAACACTCAGAGGGGGCCAGACGGGAACTAAAGGGTATAGAGTTCCTTTTGGGTGCCAGGGATTCTGCTCAGTGCTTTACAGGTATTCATTCTCAATGCAAGTATTAGAGGTGGGCTATAATTATTCCCACGTACAGAGGAAACACTAGAGGCCAGGAGAAATCCAGTGATTTGCTCATGGTTGCACAGTGTTAAACTGCAGAGAGGAGAGAAAATTGTTCTTTTTTTTTTTCCAGAAGCTGCTTTGGCATCTGAAAAAGCCTACCTAGAGTGTTGCCACCTCCACCTTTTGCACAGCCCAGGCACTGCGACGTCACCACCTGGCAACTCCTTTGATAGAGTTGGGCAGCCAAAGATGTGGCCAGTATGGTCAGGAGGCTTCTCTCCAAGGGGGTGGCGCTTGTTGGTCTAGGGGAAATCATCTCCACAAAGGGTGAAGATGGCCAGACTGTCCAACAGAACAACATGTAGAAAATATTGGAAACACAAAGATACTTAGAGAAAACAGTAGCTTAGGGAATAAGATAAAAGTTCAGTTGGAGTAGAAGAAAGGTGCTTTTTCAGGAGAGAAAAAAATGACTTAGGTTGGAATAAAAAAGGGAAGTGACCTTAAGCCAGGGATATTTCCAGTGAGGAAACTTATCCAAACATATGAGTGGGTTTGGCTGAAAGGGCTTTTTCTCCCCATACTGAGGCATCATCCCCTTTTCTTTGTAGTCCTCTGATTTATCACCCACCTGATGTCCACACTGACTGTACTCTGACTGGCTAGTTGTTCATGACAAAGGACAACAGGCCCAATTCTCATGTATGAAACGCTCATACGCACACTCTTTGGCATGCTCGTGATGGGGTTATTTTCAGGACCTTTTAAAACGTGCACACAATTAACAATTTGTTAGATCTTAATCCTGTGTGACCCTCCACTGGGAACATACATAAGTAGGAAGTGAGATCTATATTTGACTTAGGAGGAGGATGGGCATAAGAGAATTCAAAAATGGTTATCTATGTCTAGAGAAATATTGAGAACTATTGGGCCACCATGCCATGCGCATAGCTGCAGAGGGTTCCTATCTCCTCATAAGGTGAAGGAATCTTCTCCAGCAGGGATGGAAAAAATTCCAACACACGCCATCCAGCATGTTCTGCAGGCAACACTTTCAGGGGTCAAAGAGGGCTCATACAACTAAATGTCCCTAAAACATTAGAAGCTTCCACAAGAAACAAAGTTCCAAAAAATGAATGACTTCAGTGCCCAAAAGCAATTTCAAACTTCAGACCCAGCTACCCTACTGATTCCTTGGCACCTGAGACTGGAGGTCTATAGGCATCTCACACTTTGCCTGTCCAAACAGAACTCTATTTGCCTGAATTCTACCCCTCAAATTGTTGCCTTCCTTTTCTTCCTAATTGGTTACATGGCACATCCCTTTCCCCATGGGCTCCAAAGCCCAAAAGTCATCGTTGGTCCACCTCTTTGCTTTACCCCATCTGTGCCAACCCACTCCAAGTCCCATTGGCTCAGACTTCAAAATACCACTCAAATCCGACCACTTCTCACCAGCCCCTCTGGGCCATCCGGGAGCCCGTTTGTCTCTTCATTAATTACTAACTTTCTCCTCCACCCACAGAGCACCCGAAGGGATCTGTTAAGCTTATCAATCAGGCCACACTAGCCTTCTACTTAAAATCAATTTCTCTAAGAACAAAATCAACTCCTTGCCATGGTGCATACCCTTACATGGCCAAGGTCCTGCCTCCTGCCACCTGCCGCCAGAGCCTTCCCCCTGCTCTAGAGCACACCAGCCTCTTGTCAGCAGGGGACCTTTCAAACTAGGTCTTTGCGTGCCAGAAAAAGTTCTTCCCCACCCATTCATTCAGGATCAGCTCAATCGACCTCTCTCTGTCTCCCTCCCTCCCTTAAAGAAGGCTTCCCTTCCTTCCGCACAAAGAAAGGAGCAGGGCTGAGCAGTGCTGGCACTTGTGCCAAGGACCCCGTTGTTACGTCCACCGGCAGCTCCCTGAGCTCTGGTCCATAGTGATGCTCCTGCAGTTTATTAGAACACAGAGGCTGTAAATACTTGTGACACAGATACCGAAGGGGAAAGAAAAGCTACTGAATTTCTTAAGCTGGAGAGAGACAGCAAGTTTTCATTCTCCTAGGGTATAATTATGATTATTCGGTATCTAGGTCGACTTCTCATCCTAGGATCTTGTGCTTTCATAGTGCAAAGTAAACAAAACTGTCAGAATTTTCTAACTGAAGTTGGTAACGTGTTGGCTATGAAGATAAAAGGATGAGCAGCACTATCAAAACGGGTTCCCCTGAAAGGCTCTGGGCATCAGAGAAGCTTTTGGGTGCCCTACCTTGTAGCAGATGCTATGGAGGGTGTCAAGTGGTGGGGAAGGAAGATCAGACCCAAGCCTTCCAGTCCTTTGAGTTTGGAGCCAAGACATAAATTTGGGAAGAAAAGGTGGAGGAAGGCTGAAGAAGGATCTGGAGCCAGACCGGAGGACCAGTGAGTACTTGCCAGCCCCACCGCTCCCCCTGGGAATGTCTACTCCTCATACCCCAGTTTCTGACCCGAGGTCACAGCTCCCTGTGAGGCAGCACCTCTTATTTTTGGAGGATTATAGGGGCATATCACTTCATTTCTTTCTGGAAGGCACCCACATCTATAGAGCTCTGACTCATGTCTCAAGCCCTTACTTTGAGAATCAAGGATTACAGTATCTTGTTAAGCCGTAAAAAAAGGAAAGGCATACACCCCACATGTTTCCATTCCTACCATCAGTCAAACTTTCAGAAGGGTCTATCTTTAAGCTGCTTGGGCTGGCATCGAGCTAAACCTCTTATAAAAAGTCAAGTTTGCCCAGGCTGCCTAGGTAAGTGGAGAGACAGGTGGCCACTATCTGTAGCAATGCTCCAGCCCTCCTAACTCTATGCAGCTGGTCTATATCCTGATGGTGGTGGTGGTTACATGGCTCTATATGTGGGTTAAAATGTATGGAACAACACATCAAAACCATCTACAACATGGTTTAATGGTTTTTAAAGCCCTGATTAGAAAGCAAGTGATCTCAGGCTTTGCAATAAGCTCAATTACATTACGTTCTAAATCTCACTTGACCTGTCTAGCCCTTTATGATAGAGCTCTCCCAGGGAGGTCATAAATATAACACAAGAGATCATGTGGAAATGCACCAAGTAAATCTAAGTTCTTAGGAGTTACAGTTTGCACACTAACTAGGGCATACATGTATTACCAGAGTCTTTGCAGGGCACTATGTTACCAATGTCCATCTACTTCACTCATCAGAGGAACTATCTGCAGCAAAGGTGCATTTCAGGAAACTCATGTGACTCCTAAGAATTAGGAGGCTAGGATGGTGAATTAGGCACAGAACTTACCCCTTAAACTACATGGGTTGACCAAACCTTTCTGGGACTCCACAAATCTTTTCAAGATTAATTTTCAGGGCTTATATTTTCAGAATGATTGTTCCTGCAAACGATGCTTAGGATGTTCTGATCTATTGAACATCTGGTTTTCAAAATAAAAGGGGAGGTGTAAGCATGATGGCCCATCTGCCCAGTTTCCCTAACCCCAATTGATTTAAATAACCAGGGGGTGTTCCATTAGTCCTGGGGACACTCATATTTGATCCCTACACACACCTTCAGGGCCCACAAAGATCTGAAAGGAAAAAGCCTCTAGAAAATCTGAAGCAAAGACACTGTCTAGCCCCAGCCCAGTGAGGCCCCCTTCTTTCCAGGCTGTGGGCCTGGACTGGACAGGAGGTCAGGGAACCTGGTCAACACTGAGGAGCCCGCTGCCGTGTCCATGGGACTCCAACAAAGACCAACAGCTGGATAAAGAAAAACTGCTGGAAGCACTAGTGATGTGAATGCAGAAGGCCTAGTGAAGATAATTAACAGGGAGCCATGTACTTAAAGTGGCAAGAGCTGCTCTTATGTAAGAGGGAGAGTGGACCGGAGCCCCAAGGGAATCATTTAAAGGATTCAGGAGGATATTGCTAATAGAATTCGCTGTCCCTGGTGACAAAGGGCAGCTCAGGGGTGACAGAGGGAATGCTGCAGGCTGCAGAACAGAAGACCTGGCTCAAGTCTCAGTCTTATCCCTGACTAGTTGAGTGAACTTGGAAATATTACCTAATTTTTCCCTGAGGTTTAATGTCCCCATTTGCAACATGGGGACATTAATAATAGCAGCTAAGTGACAGGGTTGTCACTGAAAATGAAATAAGACAGGCAAAAGGCACTTAGTATACCACCTGCCTGCCACATAATAAGTGCTCAATGAGTGCTAACTACTTCCTCATCTTATGTATTATCCAATTTTATCATTTATTGTATTTATTCGAATGTTACAATTTTATTTATTATTGAGATATCAAAAAGAATTCTGAGGCCAGGGGAGTAGTTTATCATATTAAAGATGAATATTAATATAACTATATGATATTTTCTATTACTTTCTTATAGTGTCTTTGATATGTCTTCAAAAATACA